TATTTAAATGTTTTTTGAAACATCCTGAAGTGTGATTTACTTTCAACTGTTTCAAAAGAAATGAGAATGCTAATCATAAATCTTGACAGTACTGTTTTAACTTTTCTCATTTTGTAATGAACATATTTAAACTCTTCTCTATAATTCTGCTTCTTCCAGATCACTTTATTAAACTTTGGTCAGTATCCTCATCAGCACAGTTTTATATCTTAGGAGACCAAGCCCTTGGATTTACTTTACTATAAACACAGGGAAAAGTCCTCATCAGCCAAAAGTTGTTTTTTGATTGGTTTGTTACTTTTTACTTCTTTTTTTTTTTTCAATTTTAAACTGACCAGGCTTTTCCCACATGGGTGTGCCTCTAAATCCCTTCCAAATTAAACATAGAGATATAAACCTGGTATGCAAACAATAGCGATAGATGTGCATGTTATTTATCCCTTCTTGATTTTTACTCATGAGCATCCTTAAGTGTGGTCTTCCAATATTCTAGGAGTGAGAAATACACTTAGATGCACAGCCTACTTTCTCAAGTGATCTGTATTGATTACAGTTTTAACTGTAATCATTTAACAGTAGAAAACTGGGTCCTAATCTTCCTTGAAGATGTCATCTTTGGAGGGAACTTGATTAGAAACATATTTTATCTCATCAGTTTGTTGCCCCAGTTATGAGGAAAATGTAAATTGTAATTCAATCAGCTTTTTGACCTTTTGATCTCTAAACAAATGTAGTTGTACAGCTTTTCCCCGTGCTCCAAACCAGTCCTTTAAAACCTGTTCTACACCCATACAGAGACTATGCTGCTATCCTATAATTATGTTATTAAATAAAAATAATTTTCTCATAGTAATGATAGGAATGAAAATAAGACCTATTCCAAACCCTATAGAGCTGTACACAGCTTCTTATGTACAAAACTCATCCATGAAATTCTTAATTAATTTTAGGAGTATTAGTTTAATCTAACTGTGAGTTCTCATTGCAGCTAACATCAAAGGTATGAAATAAGTAGTAGTATTTCTACTATGTGTATATATATATGTGTGTATTTGTAGGCATATCTACATGGCAACTGAAAGTTTCCAAGGCTTGAATTACTCTTCTGGGGGCTTTTTCCTCCTCAAATGTGGTATGATCAGATCCTGTAATATTGAAGAGCAGCAGTGAAAAACAGAAACCTTAGAAAATGTTGATAAACATGCAATGGAACAGGCAAGATTTGCTTCCTTACTATGACCACAATGATTTCCCAGATTGGTATATAAGTGGAGTTTTGGAGGACTGTTGGATGGTTGCCACTAGTTAAGAATAAAATCACTCAAGAAGTGGAATAACCACAAATATTATTCTAAACCCTTCAAATTATATAGCCACGGTATGCTGGAAGGAGGAGGTGACTGTGCATTATATTATTGCAACTTTTTAACAGAAATTGCCCAGAGCTGACAAACCAGATTGGTGTTTTTTAATGAAAGCGAATACAGTTAATGTGTGTATGCTTTCATTGACAAGGTTCTGCACTTAGGAGTACAGCACAGATGGTCTAAGCAATGAATACTTATGTCTGACTGTAATTGATCCTATCAACAATGACATACCTTTAACTGGGTTGTATCACTTTACGTCACATATGGTTAATTAACTAAGAAGGGCCCAAATACACCAAGGAGATTTTTGTGTTTATACTTAGGAAAACAGTCTAGACAGGTGTTAATGTAAATGAAGTTAGTACTTGTCAAAGGTGAAATTCTCCATATGTAGCCCTGCTTCAGTCTCCAAATAAATATAATTTGGCTATGTCTACATTAGCAAGTAGTGAGGAGCAATAGGACCTGATCTGCAGAGTGAAACAGTTGGTGCTGAGGATCCCAGTTCCCCACTGCAGGGATCAGAGGGAGCAGGGGGGTTGCCCCAGGCTGGCTCTCTTCTCGTCCCACTGACTAAACGCCCAAAAGTACAGGACACAACTAGGTGCAGTCTTGGAAGGCATAATTTGGTTTAGGTTCATTCCCTATATTTAGTACTTTGCTGTGTATTTTTGGCAGCTACATTTTTTTATCTGTAAAACAAAACTTGCCCTTAATTTCCAACATCATTCAGCCTCAATAACAAGAGGTTTGCTTCCTTAGATAACCCCTCCATGCTTCCTGATTGGTCATCACAGATATTAATTGTCTTTCAATGTATATGACATGTATATGACATATGTCACTATGTATGTAGATGTCTACCCTATTCATGGTGTGATATCATGCAGCAGAGTTTGTCTTAAATTATTTTCTTGCATGTGCATGTGTTTGGATTGGCCCTTAGTTGGATAGTCTGTCTCTTGTAAAAATACTGTTAGAAAAATTATGTGTCCTAAATTCTTTCTTTTTATGGACTGTACTTTCCACTGCAAAGCACACCTTCCCTTTGCTTTCTCCAGCGTGGAAAATGGTATGACAAAATAGAACTTGATGTGGTTCCAATTTTGGTCCTGAAGGTCTAATCTCGGTATTTTACCTCATTTTTGCTCTACTTCTGAAACTTCCTGCAATAGTTTTACCTTGAAGTCACTGAATGTATAATTCTAATTATACATCAGAGTCCAGTGGCCACCAGTCAGTGTCCCAGAAGAAAATCTCAACTGTTTTCTGAGATGCACCTGCAATAAATGCTTTTGGGTTTTAAATGACTGGTAAACATATTCTTCTTGGTTGATTGTTCTTCCAAAACAAGTATTCTTATAAAGATTCTTTTCATTGTAAAAAAAGGAAAAGTACTCAGGCCCTTTAAGACCTTACGTGTAACTGTTCTCGAAAGAAGAATGTTTCACACCATGCAACCCTTTTGATAGCAAGGTGGGCTTTTGTTTTACTTTTTTTCTCCTGGACATACTTTTTTTTTTTTTTCCCTCAAGTACGTTCCTCTTCCCTTCAGAGCAAAATCTTGTTTCTGTCTCTCTTTATCCTTAGCCCAATTGTATGTTCTAAAGGATATCTCTGTTTTGCTTCACGTGATTTTTATCAGCTTCTCTCACTTGCAAGCACTGTAGCTCCTCGAAAGCCTTAATTTGTCACTCCTGAAACACAGACTTTGGGGATGTCATACCTAAACTTTCCCATCTATCCCAGGTGGCTGTGTAATTTTCAAGTTTTGATTAGCATCATCAGTTTTGGAAGCAGAAATGTTGATGTCATTCTTAAGTTAACATCATCTTAGCTGTGATAACCATTAGCCTGCTGCCAACATTTGACAGATGCAATATTTCTTTCAATGTTATCAACTTTATAAACTGATATGAAAAAGTAGTGCTAAAAGTTGTTTTACTAATACCTTCCATTTATAAATAAACAGTCTGCTTATTTATAAAGTGAAAACATTCATGGTTAGGACTGCATTCAGTTTTTAAATATATAGTATCGAAAGCATTATGAGTTGACACACAAGACTATTGTGTAACGTGGGATCAAATAGTAACTGAATAAAAAGCCCAAACTCCTTCCATGCTTTAAGAAACTGATATTAAATAATTATGATAATTAGTCTTGTCATGGAAGGCTTTTTTTTCCAAAAGAATTTATTTTGGAAAATAATTTTTTATACTGAAAATAGTTGGTTGTGTATTTCTCTTTAACTTAACGACTAGTTTTTAAATCACAGAACATTGTCACAGAATTTTGAAATGAAAGAAGGAATCTCTAATAAGTGAATAGGCTCCTAAAGGCACATTTTGACTCCTGTTTACTGTGGATGGTTTTAGATTTAGCTTTTTGTTTCCATTTGTGTTTTTATGCTTAAAATTGATGCAAAAGCTCTATTTTCCTATTTCTCTGTAAAAATAGCTGACATTTTTTCAAATCTTGTTGTAGTGTTGCTTGTACATAGTAAAATAACAGCAAGCATGGCATCCTAAAAAAATGATTTGAAGTAAATATAACAGCAGCATTAATTCCAGGTTTAATGGGATGTTTTAAGGTACATCCTGGAAAAGAGAAGGCTTTGGGGTGACCTAATTGTGGCCTTCCAGTACCTGAAGAGAGCTGACAAGAAAGATGGAGAAAGACTATTTACAAGGGCTTGGGGTGACAGGACAAGGGGAAATGGCTTCAAACTGCCAGTGGGTAGGTTTAAATTTGATATTAGGAAAGAATTCTTTACTGAGACGGTGGTGCCCCATCCCTGGAAGTGTTCAAGGCCACGTTGGACAGAGCTTTGAGTAACCTGGTCTAGTGCAAGGTGTCCCTGCCCATGGCAGGGGGTTGGACCTGGATGATCTTTAAGGTTCCTTTGAACCCAAACTATTCTATGAGTCTGTGGTATCGCTCAGATATTTTTCAGATAGCTTCTAATCAGTTCGTAATTGGACTGCTCACATACTGTAAAGTGTGCACTAAAGTATCTTGATAAATCAGAGTTTAAATTAAAAGGTTTGAGAAGTCTCAGTAATTCCTGAGCTTTTAGTATTTGAAAACAACAACAACAAAAATTCCTATATTCTAGAAAACACTTCATGTTTTGTTACTCTAGGGCCAATAATTCTGTGCTTTGTTCCCATTGAAGCAGTGCATCTCTACTGTAAGTTTCCAAATAACTTAAGCAATGATATCACCCAGTACCCTCAGTACAGTATAGCATTGTTTTGGAAGGGAAGGGTTATCAATACTTCTAAGAGGCTGATGGGGAGGCGGGAAAAGAAAATTATTCTGGTAGAACTTTTCTTTCTTCTCTGGGAAGTACTTTTTTTCCCCCTCCTTAAAGATGATCACTTAATTGAAAAATTCTTGTGTGTTATGATCTTTGATACAGGAAGTTAGTCTGTAGATAGAGCAACAGAGACATGTAGAACAAGTTTCACATTTATATTAGATTGCTTTTCTCAAAATATTTTGTTTTTCATGAGTAGCAAATTTACTCTCCATGCGTATTTTATCAGATAGCACAAAGAAACTAAGAGAATGTTATCAAATTTGAAAACAAATGTTATCAACCATGCTGCAAAATTGTCTTTACAGTGCCTATGAAGATAAAACTCACTGCAAAAGGACAGTCAGGAACAAGAACAGCAGCTTCCAAGTTGAAAGATAAGTCTGTGTAGGTCATTAACAAGTAGAAGAAAAACAACAAGCATGTTTGTCTATTAAGCATTTATTATGATTTATTTGATGCAATTTGATACTTGTGTTACTTGGGCTCAAGTTAGAAAGAACGGAAATCTGGGAATTACATCAGTTTTTAAGAGAAAAAAAAGATAGGATCAAGCTGTCTGGCTAATCTCAAATACTATTCCATATATCTGTTAAAGATGTGGTTGATCTGAAATTTAAAAAATCATGAATTTTGCTTTGCCATATTTACTGTTTTTCCTTTTCTGTTCTGGTAAAAATAGAAATATTTTCCCAGTATTGTAGGTGTGTGTTAATAAGTAGAATATCTACCAGTGAAACAGGAGAAAGTTTTAGATATTCTCATGAAGTTGCATGTGCAGGTTGCTTTTATAAATTTTTGTATAAAAAGTTCACCCACCTAATTATTAAGGGATTCACACTTTCTGAAGTGAGAAGATTCTTTAAAGAATCAGTAGACAAAAGAAATGAGTAAATAGAAACAACAGTAAGAAATGACATTTATATAATGCCCATCTCTAGGGCATTTAACATTTGTAGTTGTTGCTCATCAATGCTGTCTAGAAAAGAAACAGATTGCATGTGGAAATCTAAACAATTTGGTTAAGTATGAAATATTAACTGCTTAACGGGCCAAGAGAAGGGCAATATAAAGCTTCAAAGCTAAAATAACATGTAAGCATCTTATCCATATTCCACAAAAGATATTTTAAGGTCATTTTAATGTCAATTTAAATAAAAAAACTTACAACACAACCCAAACCCAAAGTCTGCAAACACAAATAATGCTGATTAATAGTTATTGGTTAAAACAAGATTTTCTCAGACCTTGAACATGAAATTTTATAATATATGCATACATCATAGCACCTCTATTGCCCTACCAGTGCATTCCCTTCTCTGCATAATTGCCTTCCATTAATAAGAATGCTACTCCTGTGCAGCAAGAACCTACAACCTTTTCTTTGAAATACTTATAAGCTCACCTATTTCACAGTCGCCACCAAAATGCATGATCTTATTGCAAAAATTGAACTACCATTTACTGCAGTGTTTGGCAATTCTTTGTGCTATTAATTCTGAAGTGGCCAGTTTGAAAACTTTGTGATTCACAAAGAATAAAGTTAAATTGCACAAGAAAACTGAAGAACCAACCAAACAAACCTTTTCTGTTTCTCAGTTTCATCACTAACATTTGAAATTACTTGGGGTTTTATAGGTCTTGATGATATTCTGTGACCTGGGGATTACAATCAGTTCTTGAGCCTATTTGATTATGGTCTACAGCAGTAGTCTTCCAGGTTCTCAATTTCCAGGACAATTTCTGTGTGTTTGCCACCATGCTGTTTATAAGACTTAGTCAGGAATCAATCAGTCCTGGCAGTGTCGTTTATATATTTTCCAAACAGTGAAATAACAAAGTTTGGCCTATAGCAATGATGAAGGAGTCCTGTAAAAATTAATACCGAGGTGGATGCTCCTTAATAAATAAACAAACCCCTCCTCTGACAGCTGCCTCCTAGTTTGAGAAACAGTTTGAGAAGGAGTTGGTTTGTGGACTCTAACATGGAAAAGGTAGTATATAAATCATATACAGTTGACTAAGTAACTAAGATTGCAGCCTAAGGACTTTTTTTTTTTTTTTGGTATGAGGAGAAGTAATATCTGCTATTATGCTAGTATTTCAGTCATGTGTGATTCATATTGTGCTAGTATTTCAGTCATATGTGATCCATATTCTCTAGGTTTACCTGAAATAATATTTTTCAGACTACCAGAGTCTTCTGTCCTTTTTCAATATCAAAATGAAGACTAATATTATGCAGTACTCAGTTCAGGAAGGAGCATAGTAATGCTACACTTGGAAATTGAATTTACAGTTGTTACTTTTTTGTTCTGTTTCCTCTCTATTCACACCCCCCCCCCAGGTCCCAGTTATAGTAAACTATTTATTGTTAGGTATAAAATAAAAAAGTGTTTATGGCTTAAATATAAATTTAAGTGACCTAAATCTTCAATAAGAGTTTAGAAATTCACACTCAAATACATTAAGGTTTACATAAAACCTGAAAAATATCTTTTCAAGATACTGTTGGAGGAACGTTCCCAGAACTGTTTCATATTGTTATCTTGTTATCATTGTATTGTTGAATTGTGTTTGATAAAACTGAGAGCTTTTTTTTTTTTTTATGTTTGTTCTTCCCCTGCAGAGCAGTTTTGGTGGAGGAAGGGCAGGAAATATTTTTGGTTTTTTTTTTTTATTTCTTCTTTTTAAAGTTTTCTGGAAATTCCTGACATCTAATTTTAAAGCTCAAGTGCAATTGAACCATTGAGACTGCTCCATATGAATTTTGTGACTCGCAGAAGTAATGAGAAATGTGACATTAGTTTTAGATCTAAAACACTGCTTCTGTTTGTGATTCTACACTTAGTGGCCTTTCTCTTTCAGCTTCTATTGTAAATCATATTTGTAGAGGTTTAAGAACTTGACTCAAAAAGATTTGCTTTGGGTAAAAAACTAACAGTAAAGCTGTAGTGCTTGGAATGAAGTTATCCAAATTTTGAAACAGAAGACTTTGTGAGTATTAATTCTGTATTAGCTCAGGATGTTATTTAGTGTTTCTGTAACTCAAAACTATATTTATGAACATTGATTTTTTTTGTTTATTTTACCATTTGAAGGATTTCTTCCTGTTTCACTCAGTATGTTGAATCATCATTGGTGGCAATAGAAGTTCCTGTCATAAATTAAGAGAATGACAGAATGTATTTGTAAGGAGTTGCCTAACTCTTAAAAGACTGGAATAACAGAGTTGTCTTTTCTTCCCTGGATACAAATGTTTTCTGGAGAATCGAGGATAGAATATGATACTCACAGAGCTGTCTTTGCAGTTGCATTATTGCAATATGTTAGTGACCAATGCTTTTAATATGCTGAGCAGTCGTTACATGTTGGGGATGATCCATTTTTCAAACCAGTGTGAAAATGGGTTTGATCATATTTGGACGTCTTGGGAGACAAAGTCAGATCCTAACCGATGGTTCACTTAAAGCACAGGGATCCAACCCTTTCCATTGTCCAACTGAAACAGTTTGGGTTTGCTCTTCGGGCTGAAGTGCAAACAGATGAGTAAGTCAAGAGAGGAGGAGAAATTTTTGAACTTGACCTATATCCTTCCATGTGTTACTATCCCTCTTAAGTTTATTTGGCTCAGTTAGTTGACCAAAGAATGTGGATTATCCTGCTGGCAGGAAATGTAAGGCATTTGCACAGTTATATTCTACAGAAATTATTTTGTGCTGGTAACATTACTGTCATATATTTTTATTAAAGGTTATTTATTAAATAAAAAAGTACCCATGAATTCTTTCTTAGTAAATCTTCAAGGAATCCTTTTAGTCTTCTTCTTTCTTTTCTCAAAGAAATTAACCATGCATTGTCATTGGATGGTTATTCATTCATGCTAGAATGGACATCAAATTCATAACAGATATTAAAAATGGTTCACATATTGATTTTAAAACAATAAGCTTTATGGCAACATATCTGAAATTTAAAATTCATTATTTTTATGGGTTTACTTATTGATTTAGTTGCTGACCTTAAAAATAGCATTAAAAAGAGTTCTGTTAGGAAGGTGGCACTCTGCAGTAATCCAGATGTCATTCGAGTTGGCTTTTTGCTGTTACTGAGGGGTTTTCTTTAAAGTTTTAACTTCACAGACTAATCTTTTTATACATGACGCTGCCATCAAGTGGCTATTGAGTAGAACCTCTGTGTTATCCATCTTTAATCTAAATGTTAGTCTTAGTTTTAATGAACAGCTTGGTTTAGAAGGAGGAAGCATCCTATACTTGCCTAACTGACAGAAAACAATAATCAGTTTGTTGGTCTCTGGACCAGATTTGTACAGGTAGATGCTCAAAGATGCTTTGAAAGATGCTTTAAAAGAGTGGGATTTCTGTGACATCAAGTTTTATTGACATTGATTTTTACATCAGCTTCAACAAACATTAGGAACCTCTCTGGTCACCTTGTGGAGTATTCTGAGTGTCCATTTGAATTTTCAGGTACCTTAACAGGCAGGTAGATCTTCTCTTTTAAGGTCTCGTTTTAACTCATTCTATGAGAACTGCAAAATATAGATGTAGTCTGTAGTCTTTTGCAAGGACTTTAATGTGCTGGATCTAAAAGACCAGAACTAAAATGGTTCCTAAACTTCAAGAAATTTTCCCTTTAATCAAGGAGCCGATGAATAAATAAAACCATATCTTTGTGACAGCCCCAAAATAGTTTCTCTTAAAGTAGACAAAACCTTAAGACTTTCATTTTTCAAGGCAGCAACCCAGCACCAAATGACCATTTGCAGTTCATCACAACACAAATATTGGCATTCACCACTACTCTCACTTCACTTCCAGCAGTATGGGGCTGTTAACCAATTCTAGGCAAGTAATGATAAACATCCCCATTCTCCTGAAGATATTTGCCTTCTTTCACCCTCTAGAAATAATAATAGAAAATCATGTGCACATTTGCATTTGTATTTACTGTGTTCGAATTAAAGCTGCAAACAGCTCTGATTCACTAATAACTGATGAAAGTGTCTCATTATTGAGCTACAAAACCTTCAACAAATTAATGGAAATTGCAAATCACCTTGAAAATTGCAGGCTCTTTAGTCCTATATTGAGTGCTGAGAAAACTGCATAAATAGCCTTGTTGCTTAACTCTTTCTTTTGAAAAAACAGCTTTCTTATTACATTTTTTAAAAAACATGACCTAGTAATTAAGGCATGGCTAAACAACATCTTTTTTTTTTGCTGTGTTTTGTTTTCTGCACATGGACATTTAACATATATTGCTGTGTGTGGTTCATTCCCTTTTATAGAACATTTAGAATCATGGAGTCTCTGTCT